CGGATCCGCAGGATGAGCTCGAAGTTCTCTGGAGCGCCATGCGATGTGCCATGGAGCAGCAGGTTCCATGCCTTGGGAGGCTAGAGCTCTTGCCTTGGTGTTTTGCTCCCCGGTGCTGTGTAGGTTGGGACGTTCTTCGATCCGTCTGGCAACTATCGGGACGTTCGTGCGCTGATGCAGGCTGTGATCGAATGCCGTTGACATTGCTCGTTTAATGCGCTGTGAAACTGCACCGCCGGAAGCAGAATTCTGATGTCGTGTGACTTGGCAGGAGTTTGGTGAGCAAAAGGCGGGAATCAACAAAAGCATTCGTTTTGGCGAGTTCTTGCGATCCTTACAGATCTTTGCTTGGGAGTTGCCAGGACATGCCCTTCTTGCGTCTTGGCATCCGGTACGGTGGTTGGTCGCATCATGAGCAGGACGTGCAGTTTCAAGTCATGGGCTGTCCTCTTCCACCCGAAGCCCCAAACCCTGAACCCTGAACCCTTCACCCTGAACCACCTCAAGAGATCTCCAAAAGCAGGAGCTGACTCCATTGAGTTCGCTGCTGGGTGAGCTACTTGTGGTGAAGAACCGGATGCCTCCCTCACTCGAGGGTATGCAGGCGCAGCAGGGTCGTGTTGTATATGTATGTATGTGTATGAATATGTATATATATATATATATTTCTTGTTTGCATGTATTCTGCCTTGCTTCTGTCATGATGGCCCAGATGGCCCAGTCACCTCTGGCAGGCAGGCTCCTTGCTGACAGAAGAGGAGGCCACCGGATGAGGTGGGCGCTTTCTGCAGCGAAGTGGTGTATCTCGCCAGGTGAAGAACGCACGGAGGGCACGAAGCTCATCCGGAGCAGCTTCTGGATGTGGGAGGCGGCGCAAGCAGCTTCATTGCCGAGCTGGTGTGCATGTCTCTGTGTGTGTGTGTGTGTGTGTGTGTGTGTGTGTGTGTGTGTGTGTGTGTGTATAGCAGCGGCCCTTCAACGCACAAAACACCCAACTCCTGAAGATCGCTAAACTCAACCCTAAACTAGAACCCAACGAGCCCCAAGCTGAAAAATCCCCTACAGAGCCCCCAAACTGAAAGAAATGCGACTAAACCAGGCAAGCCCAAGATCTTGGTGGGCTTTGTTGCTGCGACTGCTCCCACAGAATTGGGTGCACCTTGGCAGCATGCTGGAGGGTGCCAAAGAGCTTCTGCAGGTTCTGAGGGTTGTGAGTGTTTGGAGGGCTTTGAAAGCTTTGGGTGGTTTTGAGGGTTTGGAGGGTTTGGAGGGTTCAGAGGGTTTAGGGCTTAGGGACGCCTCAGCCCCTCAAACCCTCAAACCCCTAAATCCGAAAGCGTCCCGAAGGTTGGGGGGAAAGTTTCCCTACCCTAAAACTTGAAGCATGAACCTTAAACCCAAACCCTTAAACCTAAACCCTACAACGAATCCTTTAGGGTATTTTTTTGTGGCTCACATCCCGAGGCAATTGCGGGCCAAAGTTTCCGCACCTCTCCGGAGCCAACTACTTGTGGCTCACGCCGCCCAGCTCTCAGAGATGCTCAGGGTGACCTCGCCTCGTCGAGCCGAAGCTGGCGAACTTGCTGAGGGTTTAGGGTTTAGGGTTTAGGGTTTCGGGTTTAGGGTTTAGGGTTTAGGGTGTAGGGTTGAGGGTTTAAGGTTTAAGGCTTGCAAAACCCTAAGCCCGGACGGCTCTGAAGGATCCTGTTCGGCAATCTGTGCCGGCTTGGCTACCAGGCTGGGTCCGGGCAGTTACATGTCGAGACAGCTTTGAACACACAGACAGCCTCTGAGACACATATATATATATATATATACGTATATATATATATATATATATATATATATATATATATGCAAGAGGAGTTGTCAGATGTGATTGCATGGGCTGCCGATCTGATTGAATCTGCTCTTTCATGTTCCAGCTGGACGCGGAGAAAAAGCTTCGCAGGGTAGCCCCCCAAAAAGCCATGACGTTGCACGCGAGCGACTCCAGGGCCTCTCGCTCCAGATCTCCAAAAAAGGGGTGTCGCTCTTTGGGCGAAGTCGTCCTTTGCACGCAGACGTGCACCATCTCGACGACCCTGGGGGATGCCTGCGATCAGCTTATCGCGTCTGGGCATACGGGAACCCTCGTGACGCGCGAGGGGGAAGCCGTGGGAGTGATCACGGAGAATGACATTCTGGCCGCCCTTATGGATGGCATTGATCGTGACATTCAGCTGGACTTGTGGTTACGCGGAGGCAAGGCTCGCCTCCCCGGATGCATCATGAACGCTCTGACCTTGAACCCGACAGTGAGCCTTTTGAAAGCCGCTGAGAGAATGGCTGACCAGGCGGAGAAGGACTCGGGATTTGCCTGCCACCACTTGCTTGTCTCCAATGCCTCGATGCCTCACGTGGTTTCAGACCTGGATGTAGTGACCTGGCTACAATCTTCCTTTCGCCTGTCCCTGACAAGGTCTTAGGGTATCACATTTCTTAGCTTTCTTCTGAGCTTCCTTCTCCAACCATGTGCAGTGCCCCATCTGATGATCGAAGGCAAGAAGCTTGATCAGAAACCTGACGAGAAGGGGCCGAGAAGCTGTCACGTTCCCCGAAGTCAAGGAGGCCTGGCTCCTGTTTTGCGTTCTTAGTGTTTGGGGGTTCAGGGTTCTGGAGGGCATAAGCTTACGCACCACCGGCTTCTCAAAAGGCTTAGCCTGGGTTTGTCCTGGGGTTTGAGGTTACGCTCCCCATACTACAGGCCATGAAAATACGCGCGAATGTCGCTACTTGCCGCCTCAGTGACAAGCTCATCGACTCGTACCGCATCATGTTCGAGTCCAGGCAGAATTGTGTATTGGTGGTGGAGGGGCTCGGAGACATCGACGGGGAGAACGTCCTGAACCCCGAGGATCAGGGCAGCCACATCCATGGCGTCATAACCATCACCGACGCCCTGCGCACTTTCTCAGAATGCCAAACCGGTGACAACACCACCGTCAAGGGCTTTCTGAATGGACTGACCGCTGCCGAGCACTTCACAGCCCCCGGGAGAAGCATCCTTGAGTCCCAGTCCCTGCTCGAAGCTGCGGAGCTGATGGGTGAGCTTGGCGTTCATCACCTGGTGGTTCTCAGAGCGAGGCCCGGCGACCAGAAGGAGATCGTCGGGGTCCTGTCCGCGCTCGACATCGTGTGCGCCATGAGCTCCCCAAGGTGGATTCACGGGACCGATGGCGGGGCTTGATGGGCTTTGATGGAGAGATGTGGGGGTTTCCGAATTAGGGGTACCTTGCTGGGGTTCTTACTATAAGGGATTCCGACTATCTGGCGGTTTATATTTGGGGGGTTCCTTATATTCGTAAACCCCAATGTTGCACATGCTCTCTCAACTGTCAAATGGATGCCCTCTTGTTAGAGGGCACGTCTTGTACAGATTGTTCGGTACGCTCGAACATGACAGGCTTGCGACGCAGGGCCGTTTGTCCATCATTTTAAGGCTCGTAGGCAGCAAGCAGATCCTGAGCACACTTACAGAGGGTGCTCTTCCGTTTCAAGCCCCCAGACTTTGTTTGCTGGGGAGGACACAGGGCTTTCAGAGCATTCAAGAAAAGGGACAGCAGCAGGAACACATCAGTCCAAATCCCGTGGAAGCTGTGGTTGCTTTGGTATTGGGATCAATGTTTTGTATGTAATATGACATACATGTAATTACATATATAGCACAATACAACACAACATAATGTAATGCCATAAACAAACAAGATAATTCAGCATAGTGCAATATCAGACTACAACTTAGCACAATATAATACAACAGAATACACTCTAGCACGAAAATACAATATACTTCAACATAACACACTCTAACACAATTATAGCACAACATAATACACTACAAGTCAATATGATAGAACATATCACAGTTGAATAGAATAAAATGCAAGATCTTATCACACAAGACCATATAACACAAGATCATACAACAAGAGCACAATGCAACACAATACAAAAGAATGCTGCGTAATCTGGTATCATATAAGCTGGAGTCTCCAGGTTTCTCAAGACGTGGTGGCCGCTCTGGGAACAGGACTTCACCGGCCGTCGAGCTCCATGTGCCCCAGCAGAGTCTTTCGCATTCCAAGGCTTCTTGTACACCTTACAGTAAACTCCAGAAAGTTGGAACATGGTTGAAGGATGATTAGAGCTGGGATTCCCTTGAGTATACCTTTTCGGGTAAGGGGATAAGGATGTTCCCCAACTTTTGGAGTTTACTGTAAGTCCTCGGGGTAGTTGCCGTGGCCTGCCTCCTGAGGTCCTACCAGCACGACAGTCCCCGATGCGGCCGCTTCTCTTATTGTTCGGTGGCATTTTTCGCAAGCATGGGCGAGCATGTGTGGCCTGCAAGGCTGTCGGAATCTACCACAAAGCTCTTCTGAGTCCTCGACATCTGCACCTATCCCTTTCTAAGCACAGGGCAGAGCCAGATCAACGTCGAAAACCTAAGCGCGCGTAAGAGCTTAGCGTGATCGGTTCTTGCCAGTCAATGCACCAGCTCCAATGGGCTTTACTAGGGAATCCGTGCCCTGGATTCTCCGTTCAGGGTGTGTTGCTTTTAGGAACCCCATATGATAATATATTCCAATTAAGGCTTAACACACACGTCTTGAGTCATTCAATTCCCTGGAGTTCCACTTCGGCACCCAGCAAGCATGTGGGAAAGCTGTACAGCCCACAACTCGATGTATCTTTTTGCGGTGCGGTCGCGCAGCCAAGAGAGCCTGCAAGACCCAGCACCACCTCTCCACCACGTGCAAGTGGGAGCGCCTGACGAATCTTGAAGACCATGACCAAGATTTGGCTGGGGCTTATTAGTATTGTTACTATTTTTGTTGTTATTATTCTTATTCTTGTTATTGTTACTGTTCCTATTTCTGTTATTATGAATGCTAGGGTTTGGCGCTCCGGGTTTAGGGAAGACCTCTGCTTTAAAGACAATGGAGCTCTCGAGTCCACAGGACAAGGCGTCTCGAAACGCTGTGTGCTTTCGCTACTTCGAGGGCACCTGCCGCTTCGAGGCCATGTTCTGAGTCTAGTCTCGGGAGTCCTTACTTGGAGGTTCATGGTGCTTGTCAACCAAGTATACATGTACACTGCGAAGCCCTTTCAAAGTGCGCGGGTATGGCCCAATTGGGTTAGAAGTACAGTTGCTATTAAGTACCCTGAACTTCCAAGTAAGCCTGGCAGGATTGCAAGTTCTTGCACGTCAGCCCGCAGAAGCTGACCGACGAGGAACGTGCGCAGGTGGCTTGGGCTCGCAAGTAAGTGCATGGCATGACATGAATCTCAAGAGCTTCGGAGGTTAGGGCTGAGGGAGGGGGGGGGGGGTGGCTGGCATCAAGCAGGCCCAGCTGCAAAAGGGAGGGGGTTGGCAAAATCAGACAGATTGGGAAAGTAGATTTAGATCGCAGTCGGCCCACGATTTCTTGGAAGAGCTGGTGAACCACACAAGAATACTTCAAAACCGCCAATCGGATGGAGCAGGGGAGATCACCTTGGCTCGAGAAAGTGGTGATCGGACCCAGGTGAGATATGCATTCTGCTGTTGCCGGGCTGCTTCGGGTAAGCGCGCATGTGCAGCGTTGCAACGGCCCGGTCACGGTTCATGATGGCTGCAGGAATTGCAAACAGACCACAGTCAGACTACATGAGTCGCACCGTATCCCAGGAATGCTTTGCAGGCGCTTACAGTACTACAATCAGGAAGTGTTGCTGCGCATCGCCAATCATCGACAAGCGAGTCCTTGGCAAAACGGATTGGCGGTGTGCTTTGTCAGATGCAGCTACCCGAATACTTGTAGTGACTTCTAGCTACTTCTACCTTCTTGTAACTGCTTCTAACTACTTGTACCTGCTTGGTGCTGGCGCCGTATTTTCCCTGGTCGTTTCGTGCGTTTACATCTTTGGATCTGTTGGCACGCGAGGCACTTTGCACGGCTATAGCTGGAGAACCTGATGTTGGGGTTTCAAAGGTGGGTTCCTTGTCAAGAGAATTCCGTCACGTAGACGGCTCATGACGGTACGATTTCTTTCTCACGACTCGACCGGTCAAACTGTGCTGGATTCTTGGGGATTGGTACTAGCCCGTGAAGGTGTGACAGGGAGAGAGCCCGCTTTCCGGGGCTTCCAAGATTTTTCGTAAGTATAAATACTAGTGTTTGGGCATGTTCGCAACAGGCATGAACGTTTGTGACGGCGCGTCTTGTTCCAGAAGCCGCAAACGTTCTGTGGTGTGCGAAGAAGAGGCAAACGCGTGGTACATATTCGCCATCCCACCTCCCCAACTCTCCAAAATATCACACACACACACACACGCATACATACAGCAAAACACCACGGATAGTGAAAAGGCCCCAGGCAACATATCCTAGGCCAACAGCAGATCGGCCAGTTTCTCATGCTGCATGGCGTCCACGTGGCAGCTCAGGTTTTACATGAGCTACCGCTTCGAAAGTTCAGCCAGAGTTTCGGCTGCAGAGAACGACAGCCGCCTATTGTGGTCAGTTCTTGTCGGTTCCCTTTTTTGGGTTCCCCTGACAGGATGGAGCCTGATACTTCGGGTGCGCAAAAGAGGGTGCCCGCATACGGAAAGCTACCTCCCCCTTGCCACACCCTCTGCCCAGGAAGCTGGCGGATGTCATCGCAGGCTACTTGGAGGTTCATGTTACTTCTTCACCAACTTTTACTGTACTTATAACCAATATATAAGCCCCTTAAGTGCCCCAATATGGTTTTAAGTACAATTAGAAGTACGGTTATGATTCGTGAATCAGTACCATGAAGCTCCAAGCACTTGCCACCATCAGTTCCGCCCGATGTCGCTGAGGGTTGCAATAAACGAAGGTCCCCTGTTCTTACGTGAGTAGGGAATTGGGGAATGAGGTACCCTATATAAATGTTATAAGAGGCGCCTATCCTATCCAACAGAAGAATTTTCGAAAACAGCTATCAACAACTCCATAACGTGATGGCCCATGTGTTCATGGAATGTCTTTCTGACGCACTACTTGCTCCAGGCTTGAACATCCCACGCTGCAAAGATTTCCATCAGCGTAGCCCTCGTTTTCTGAAATGCAATGCGTCACATCGTGTCGCTCGCACTGCTCTGAAATGCGACCCTGCTGATGGGGGTCGCAGGGCACATGGAACACGATGGCTTAGCTAGGCAGTAGGACATGAGCCGCTTTTTTTGCTCGGTGTCGATGAGGCGTGGTGGATGTAAGCGACCTCCCGGAAGGCAGATGCCATCGAGACGCGATCGTAGCCCTTTGCGTGCCAGACTTGCTGTGCCAGGTGTCACTTCTGGCATCTGACGGACGCAAGCGCTGCGCGTTGGGCCGGATTTAACTTCTGGTGCGAGGTCTGCTCCAAGGCGTGTAAACTGCGTCTTATGTCGAAGGAGGAGGGCAAGTAGTTGTGCATGATGTGCGAGTGCAAGGAGTGCATCGCCTCAGGCTGTCGAATTGCCTGTGCAGGCATTCACGTCCCAGGATCAGATGCTGGAGCAGGGCCCCCTTGTGATATATTGGTGGCAGATGGGGGGCTCTGCAGTGCTGAAAAGAGATGAGTTTCATTGAGGCATGAGCAGTCAAAGCCTCACTGCGAACGGGCCGGCATTCCATTCGTGGGGAGGCTGGGCATGACTTGAGTCATCGTGAGTCCGTTGTGCTAATCTCTGCGTGAGCGCTCGAGGCTGGGGGAGCAAGGCGCAGGCAGGGACAGAGGAGCGCAGTGAAACGCAGCAATCGCCCCTTAAAGCGATTCCCTGCCCAGGTTCTCAGGGAGGCAGTCGAGGCCGTGGAGGTCGCGCAGTCCGCGGCGGCCGTGGCGGGAGTGGCCGCGCTGGCCGTGGCGGTCGCGGCCGTGGCTTCAGCCTGGAACCCCGGGAAGATCTCAGTTTGTCGCTTTTGCACCGTGTTCAGCCTCTGTGGCCACAGGCGACGAGATGGAGTCAGACTTGCCGGTGACCAGGGGGAGAGGTCGGAGTTCTGCAGCGAAAAAGAAGAGACCCAAGCTGCGCAGTAGTTACACCGTGTAGTGGGTGACTCCTTTTGGCATGGCTCCCGTGCTTCGTCCGAATTATTCCTTTGCTGTCTATGCCCAAGGCAGGTGTACATCGTTGCGCAGCAATGTCCAGAGAGACAGAAGGTGATTTCCCACACTTAACCCTGAGCCTTGTACACCCCTCAAGGATCTACAGTAGGCCCATATAGGCCCCCGAAACGGATCCTTCAACAAAGTCGTCTGGGCCCTCTAGCAAGCTTTTCACTTTGCAGAAAAGGTCAGAGCCACGAGTTGACACGGGGTTCCGAAATTAGAGGGTACCCTACCGGGGTCCTTGCTATAAGGGAGTCCTACGATTTGGGGTTTACATTCGGGGCCCCCTTATTTTCGTAGACCCCCACATGACCTCGCCCTTGCCGCCGCTGTGTCTTCTGAGAACGACGCCCTGCAGCAGCTGCAGACAAGGTTCTTTGTGTTAGCCCGGCGGGTCACGATGTGACACGACTTTTCATTAGGTTGTTCGAGGCTGACGTTGATCGGATGTTGCAAGCATTTGCAAGCTGTGTTAGCAGACTCCACCTTGACCTGCGACTCCCTGCATTCCATGTCTCTTCTCGAGCCGAGCTCAGCTTAAGCCAGTTCCGCTCATCTTTTGTTTCCTACTGCGCTTGCCATGATGGCCTTCCTGGCCTTTCTGGCAGCCTTTCTGGCAGCTTCAAAAGGGGGCGAAGCTCCGGCAGGTCCAGAAGCCGGATCGAGCAGAGAACTTGGAGCAATGTGATAAAGGGGCTGCTCCAAGTGACTGTTGCATTGGTTTCGTTTTGTCAGTTGCACTTGTTTCCTCACGGCGTTTCACGCTTGATTCCGCGAAGTGGCTCAAGAGCAAGTTTTCATGTGCGGGCAAGCTGCAGAGCCTCAGCTCGGTTTTTCGAAGCATGAATTGTGAGAGGGCTTCGTCAGTGGCATATTGTCTTTCACACAGACATTGCATGATGCAAGGAAATCTGGCGGCTTTGTCAGCGCAGCACACTTTGAGGAGTTTATCTGCCCAGCACTTGATGATGGAACGTGTGAGCAGTGCAGCAGCTTGTGCGTCGCATGCAATCAACAATATGCGAGGTGGAAGCTGGCTGGAAATCTTTGGACTAAGATTTCAATGCATGGACTTCCGTCAGCTACGCGGAAGGCTGGTGAAGTCAGTTTGTGCGCAGGATATGTTCAATAGGCACGCAGCTCAGCGGCATGTGAGCATTGAGATTTTCTCAGACTGTTCCGCTGGCCAGGCTTCGGCGGATTCCCGCTACACACGCAAGGGCCGCTTCAGTGCTTGGCTGATCAAGGCGGCGACGTGAAGTTTCCTCGATGCGGGGCTTGATGGTCAGGTATTGCCGGCATCAGTGTGCATATGTACAATCGTCTATTTTTTGTATGTATGTATATACATACATATGTACATATTATATACATATATATATATATATCTCTGTGTGTGTGTGTGTGTGTGTGTGTCTGCGTGGCTCGCGGAAAGAGCACAATTTGTGGTGTTCCGGCCTCAAGCCATGCTCAACAGAGCAGCCAAGACCGTCATGTGGGCATTCTCTTGCCAGAGTAGGGCTGTAGCGCTTTTTTGGGGGTAGGGGTTGCAATGCCCTATGGCTGTAGATATTGGCTTCCCCCCCCGATGCCAAGTAGACTCCAATCAGCGGTAAGCTCAAAAGATCATCATCAGACCGTGCCATGGGCTCTGCAATCACGACCATCGTTTTTCAGCCGCCGCAGGCCTCAGGTTGCCAAAATTAGGGTTTTGGGTTTAGGGTCTAGGGTGAATTTAGGGTTTAGGGTTTAGGGTTTAGGGTTTAGGGTTTAGGGTTTAGGGTTTAGGGTTTGGGGAGTCAAGTTCTTGTTCATGCTTCGAGCGATATCTGTGTCTGCCTGATCCCTGTCAGCCCAGCTACAGTCGAGATCCAAACCTTATTTGGCTCAGCACTTCGGAGCACGAGGTGATCCCTGCTTTCTTTATTGACAGGCGGGTGTGTGTGATCTCAAGGTCGTCGAGTCGTTTTGGTGTGCACTTTTAAGCATGTTTGCGTTGCCTGTTGTCAGGGACGCCAAGTTTACCCTGCTCTTCAGCCATGGCAATGCAGAGGCTGATCTTCTACCCTAAACCCGAAGCCCGAAACCCGAAACCATAAACCCTAAACCATAAACCCTGCGAAGAATTGTATGTCTGAGGACTTGGGAATGATAATCCAGTATTTCCGGGAGGTGTCGCACATTCTGGATGCCAGGCTGCATTCTGCAATAGAATGTATAATATGTATATACATGTATAATATGTATATACATATACGTATATATATATATATATATATATATATATATATGTATATATACATCTATATATACACATAATATACACATTATATATACAGAAATATGTATATAGATGTACATACTTGTATTACAAATGCACTTGAAAGGCATTTTGAACAGGCAGCGTAGTGCTTAGATGCCAGATGGCCCTAAGGATGTCAACATCTTCGCGTACGATTACACTGGATACGGAATGAGCTCAGGCAGCCAGGGTTTAGGGTTTAGGGTTTAGGGTTTGGGGTTTAGGGTTTAGGGTTAGCAGACGAAGCAGTTGCTGGCCTTGCTGTAGCCTTCTTGACACATGGTGAGCTTGCAGGCAAGCCATCGGAGCAAGCGCTGTATGCTGACATTGAGGTGCGTCATTCAGAGGGCCTAACAGACCTTAGGAATTTCACCGGTCAGGCGGCCTGGAGTCCTAAACTCTTCTCGGATCCGCATAAGGAGGGGGTATTTGCCTGAACCGTTTTGGGTCCTCTGGCCGGAGCAGGCAGCATTTAAGTATCTGCGCGACATCGTCGGTACGCCTTGGAGCGAGGCCAGCAACCTAGCCTGTCATGTGGGAGTTGATCTCATTGTGGGCCCTTCTTTTGTGCCTATTATTAGGAGGCTATTCCTGTATTTCAAGGGCCCTTCTTTAATGTCAACCTGTGATATGCTTCCATGTGCCACATGGATGCAGAAGTCAGCATTGATCCCTGAGATTGTGGTGTATGGAAGATCAATCGGGTCGGGCCCATCCATCCACTTGGCTACAAGGAGACGTTCTGCATCAGATGAAGCCATGCTGACTCGTGCTCTCTGTGCAGGACCGCAGTGCGAGCAATTGTGCTGCAGAGTCCGCTGCTCTCCATCTACCGGGTGGCATTTTCTTCCAGGACGGACGGATATCAGATATGACTTGCAGAATCGGATGTCAGTTTGGCATTCTTCAATCACCATAGTGCAAAAAGGCCAACGCAATAATGCCTGGTGAATACTCGTCCCCTCACCAGATTGCCAATGAAGGTGTGGAAAGTCCTTCATATCTATGTAGAACTTTCCTTCACGGCAAACTGATGTCGGATGTCGGTCCTCCTTCAGTTGTCCAGTGTGCTGCGTTCCTCTGCTTTTCGAGCAATGTTATTGGTAGCTTGTTGCGAACTCCGAGTTTCACGCTGCCCGGCGACATGTTTCCGAATGTTGACAGAATTGGCAGCTTGGCTGAAGTCAAGGACAGCTTTCTGAGTTTCCAGGTCTGCTGCTTGTCGTTGGCAGACGAAGTCATGGGGTGACTTCGCCCAGAGCTGCACCTGAGGTCAGGTGAAGTGCCCTGTCTACATCGTCGGCGCCCCAAGAATCAGTGTGGGAGTTTCCGAAAAAAAATGGGGGACCCCTACAATGCACCCTCAAATAGTAGGATCCCCTTATCATAAGAAACCCCAACAAGGTACCCCTAAACCCTAAACCCTTATAAGGACCCCAAGAAGGTACCCCTCATGTCGGAAACCCCCGTGTTGCCCATCAGTGCTATCAGGAACCGGGGTTCTTCTGCGCGCGCTTCAAAAAGTATGGTCGAAAAGCCTGACCTATTGAGGTGCATGGAACTCAGGAGTCGCCGTTGCCGGTTTAGGGTTTAGGGTTTAGGGTTTAGGGTTTAGGGTTTAGGGTTTAGGGTTCAGGGTTTAGGGTTTGGGGTTTAGGGTTTTTGGAGAGCCATGTGTGATTCTGGGAATGCAGGACGAGATCATCCCTTCATCTCATGCCGAGGACCTGGTAAGGAATTGCCGCGAGGCCTCTTGGGGCATGGCATGTGGATTTCTGGGAACCCTAAACCCTAAACCCTAAACCCGAAACCCGAAACCCTAAACCCTAAACCTGATCTTGGCAGGGAATCGCCTATCCGCCTTACCTGGTCGAGAATGGCGGGCACAACAATCTGGAGCTGATTGCTCGACAGCCTTTCTATGACAACTTCACGAAATTCCTTCAGTGGTCCAAAGCTTACACACTCAGCTGCTCATGGCTGCTTGTCCCTAAACCCTCAGCCCTAAACCCTCAACCCTAAACCCTCATGACTTCATTCAAGGTTGGAGAAGGGTGAGATATCGGACGAGCTGCATCAACATGCGCTTTCCGCTGAGCTTTGACGTCATGCCTGTCTGGCAGACTGTCGAAGCCAGGATATGTGCTAGGGTCTAGGGTTCAGGGTTTAGGGTTTAGGGGTTAGGGTTCAGGGTTTAGGGTTTAGGGTTTAGGGTTTAGGGTTTACAAAGCGAGGGATACTTGGATGGGGTTGCTCGAGTCTTTTGAAGGCCTCCAGAGACCATCCAACACGTTAATTCACTTGGCCGCGATGACATCGTCCTGGCCTGATGAGACGCTGCTCTGGAACTTTTAAAGTCCTCAGACGCTGTAGGAAAGTGCATCTCTGCTTCATGGGCGCTTGCGTTTGTGAGAGCCCTGAACGGTCTCGTTTCCCTCTGCGAGCATCAATTAAAAGAGGTGTTCGAACCGCCCCCAGTTTCTCATGCCAGCAAGGCTTCCTGTCATCTTTGGCCCCTTGCCCTTCAACCATGGCCCAATAGTTAAGCAATAGGGGAAATGAATGGTTTCCTCAAGTTGGACCCTAAACCCTAAACCCTAAACCCTAAACCCTAAACCCTAAACCCTAAACCCTAAATACTAAGCCACTTCTTTGTTAAAATCCCTTGGATTTGCAGACGCTTTATCCTTTAAACAGTCCAACCTGACCAAGCATGTCACCTACAGGGATAAATTCTCACCTCCGGACAACTGGGACCAGTTCATTCTCGACCCCCTAATTCTTCTACAAATGTGGGACCGTTTTGCCACGCTCCCCTTGCCGGAGTCGGATCAGCTTTCGCTGGTTTCGGAGATTCGAGCGTTCCTGGGTTTAGATACTCTCCCTCCCAATAAACTGGCTACACCGCACATAGACCCGGTCCGCTTTCAAAGCTTGGACAGACTGATTACCCCTAGGAAGTGGCTCCCCACGATCCGAAAAGTAAAAGCTGTACACAATACAGGTTTTCCAAGCGATCATTACCTACTTCTTACAGAGCTCAGCGTCCGGCTAGGGGCACGTAGGCAGAGGTAACCCAGACCCCCCCCCCTGGAGTACAACGCCAACAGACAGCAGCGCGAGAAGTTCAACAAAGAATTTAGGAACGCACTATGTCTAGAGGATACTGAGGCTACACCGCCAAAACCTTCGCTTCCAGTAGAAGTCTATACCGATGGTTCAGGCTCGAGAGGTAAATGCACCAGTACAACGCCAGCCGGTTGGGGTTTCGTTACGGTAATAAACGGAGTCCCCACGCACAAAGCCAGGGGACCGGTAATTCCGGGTACTTCGCCTTTTTCACTAGGAGCGGTGGTTGGGAGTAACAATACCGGAGAATTGTCCGCATGGATGGAAGCAGCGTTGTATTTACTGTCGATGGACCCTATCCCTTCCACCGTTACATTCTGCTTTGACAGTAAGTGGGTGGAAGGCATGGTTACAGGAGCATTTCGCCCGACTAGGCACAAAGCCATGGTCTACTCCGCCAAGCGTATTTATTCCCTATTAAAGGCCAGAACAACAATCAAATGGACCTGGGTTAAAGGCCACTCAGGACAAGAATACAATGACATGGCGGATGCGCTTGCAGGACAAGCAAAACAAGATGGTGTACGGATAGGTGGCCGTTCTGAACAACACTTCTACCTTACCCCTACTAACCTCCCTTTGGCAGACGCACAAGCCCCCCTCCCCATCATCAAAAACGCGCCGGACCGCATCTCACAGGCCCTTTTGACGGCGGCGGAGAACACATTCGATAAACTGCCGGTCAAACCCAGGACGTGCTGGATTACTCCAACACTTGCAGCGGACATCGAAGCCGTAAAACAGCGCAGATTACATGGAGACCCTCAGGCCACTCAGGAATACAAAAGGCTCAAAACGCAAGCCCGCAAAGTAAAACGCCAGTGGCTAAGGGATCAGGTTCTGCAATCCCATAATCAGGGGTCGCAAGCGCTTTGGCGGAACCTCCGTAAAATCAAAACGGGATTTAGAGAACGAAAATCCAGGCTAAAAAAGGAAGGTCGGCCGGTACCTTGGGATAAACAGCACGAGGCGTTTGCAGACCACCTCGCCAATGTACAATGGGGTCCCACCACGGTCACGGCAGAAGAAAGAGAATTACTACGGGAGTCACCCTCTTTATACGCGCCCTCGGCTACACCGCCCCCGCCCTTCACCCTAATAGAACTTTCGGACGTTATCAAGCAATTACGAAAGGCTAAAGCGCCTGGTCCAGATAACATTCACAATGAGCTGGTGCTGCTTCTGGACTACATAGGGGAACAACAGCTATTGGAAATGTTCAACGAATGTTTTAGTAGCGCCACGGTTCCCCAAGAGTGGAAAGAGGCTCTTATCGTTAGTATTTATAAAGGCAAAGGTTCGGATTCTGACCCTGCTAATTATAGGCCAATTTCCTTGCTAAATACTTTCTATAAGATCTACGCGGCATTACTTCAAAAAAGATTGGCTAAAGCGCACGATCATCAGCTTCGGAGCACGCAATTTGGTTTTAGGGCTAATAGATCCACGCAGCAACCACTGTTCGTCCTACGCAGATTGCAAGACCTAGCGCTGAAAACAGGCTCTCCCTTTCAGCTGCTATTCCTCGATTGGAGAATGGCGTTCGACAAAGTTGATCATGATTCTATGATCATAGCTTTGGAGCGCCTTGGAGTACACCGCCAATATGTCGACATTATTAGAGATCTTTACACCAACCAGACATTCTATACGAGAGGACCCTTCGGGGACACCGCCAAGGCTACACCGCGCACCGGTATTAGGCAAGGTTGCCCCCTAAGCCCGTATTTATTTATCATGGTTATGACAGTGCTTTTCTCTGATGTAGACCGCAGGCTCCGTATACATGGCACCCCCACTAACTCCTGGTCGGTAGGGAAACCAGTATACGATCTAGAATACGCTGATGACACGCTTCTCATTTCGGTTACAAAGCCACAAATGAACGACATACTTAAGGCAATTGAGGTAGAAGCCACCCTATACGGGATGCTTCTGAACAAAGAAAAAACAGTCTCTCTGGAGTACAACGCCGACGCCCCCCAGGTCCTATACTTTGCTGATGGCTCCCCGGTTCCCATAACCACTGACACTAAATATTTAGGCTCCCAGGTTACATGGGACAAGGCCACTAAGCGCGCCATAGAAGCTCGTAAAATCAAGGCGCACATTTCCTACATCAAACTCCAACATTTCTGGAGGTCACGCATCAATTCTAGAACTAAAACTAGAATCTTCCATGCCATAGTCTTGCCTACTTTACTGTACGGATTGGATACGCTTACTCTGGAAATTAAGCACCTAAAGACCATAGATGCATGGTACCACAGATATCTTCGTAGAGCACTAGGAGTCAAGGACTCATATTATTCACACATCTCGAATCGACGGGTATGGACGCTAGCGGGCCGACCCACGCTACCATCCCAAATTCTGACCTCTGCCCAGTTAAAGCAATTGGCAAATACCTTGGCTACACCGCCCAGCAATCCGGTGCACCATGTAGTCTACTCTCCGGGTTGTAAAGATAGGATCAAATTCACAAAATCTTCACACAGAGGACATCCCCAAAGATATTGGCTGGAACTCAATACTGAGTATGCATTACCGGTGCTTAAAGAATACATAAGGCTAAACCGCATAAACACGGAGGAGCAAAGGCAAGACTTCTTAGGCCTCAAACACCTCCTTAATAGGGACCCCCTCTTCCTGTCTTTCCTGGAATCTGCGCCGACGCGCTGCCCCCGCTTGTTCAAAAGACACGCCAAAGCACTTGCATGCGCATGGCTGCCATAAAAAAAAAATACTAAGCCCATGACCTTAAGTTTTCGCTTCGCGCCCGCGTGCAGGGGAAGAGTGACGGCGTGAAGGCCAAGTGGTTCCAGAGCCTTGGACGGCGGTGCGCCCTCGAGCTCCTAGAGACGAAGATTGCAAGACGGAGCCAGAGAGCCCAATGCCCCTTAAATGAGGCATAGGCCCTTAATTTGTTCATAGGGATCCTGAATATACCTTAATGTCTAGTAGGGGGCCTGGATATGATGTGAGGTATATTCCCTTAAAATTGCGGGGTATTGGGCTCTTTGCGGAGCACTTGGGTCTTCGTTCTGCCTGCTGCCCTCTCAAGCCATGGAGTTGAAGGCTGTTTAGGAGAGTTGTTACGCGAGGCGCAGAGTCAAAGCACGGTGGAGCTTCGCTAGGTGGCCTCATTCATGCTCTTTAGGGTTTAGGGGTTTAGGGTTTAGGGTTTAGGGTTTAGGGTTTAGGGTTTAGGGTTTAGGGTAGACCGTACACACTTTGCATGAGCAGTGTGAGGGAAAGGTGCTGGTATTCACGCATGGCCGAGACTGATAGCGCCATTGGGCCATGGCTGAAGCAGAGCAGGTCTGCTGAGAGTTGGGTTTAGGGGTTTAGGGTTTAGGGATGTTTAGGGTTTAGGGTTTACAAATTCAGCACCGTTGACGCTACACATATGCAAAGTACATAAATGAATGATTATGTATTCTATGCATCTGCAGAATGCACATGCAAAAAGTATATGTACAATAAATGAATAAGAAGTATAAATATGAATGCAATGATAAGAAATTCAATATAAATATGACATACAAATGTATATGTTAATATATATATATATATATATGTATATATATGTATATATGTATATATGTATATATGCATATATGTATATATGTATATATGTATATATGTATATATGTATATATGTATATATGTATATATGTATATATGTATATATGTATATATGTATATATGTATATATGTATACAGATGTGTACATCGACGTAAAGCATCATGTCTTATCGGTCCCTTGTGGCCTTCAGGATGATGGCATTGGGGCTACACAAGGAGGACGCTTTCGTCCACGCGCCCTTGGGGGGCGGCCTCTCCCTCAACCCTAAACCCTCTAAGCCCTAAACCCTAAACCCTAAGCCCTAAACCCTAGACCCTAGACCCTAGACCCTAAACCCTAAACCCTAAGCCCTAAACCCTAAACCCTAAACTCTAAACCCAACCGGGGGGGCGGGCTTTTCCCGCGAGGACACTCCGAAGTGTCGGCCCTTGCCAAGACGCGTCAGCCTCAGCGTTTGCAGAGCAGCAACAAGCCTGTACTCACTGGTTCTTAGGCGGGAGTACGGGTATTAGGTACTTCGCATCCCCCTATATTTATATATATCCCCCTATATACATACCTTCGAAGGCTTTTTACAGAGTTTCTAGTTCCCTCATGTTTGCTAAGAACCGGTAGGTTTATGTTTATGCTGCTCCGCTCTGGCCAGCGTCGGACCTGCGCATGTTGCAGGGGCATGGGCAATGGGGACTCCTCTCCAAGATGTGCTGTCTGCACCTTAGAGAACGTCGGCCTCGACTTCTTGTAGCTTAGGGGACCAAGAGTTTGATTTTGCAGCTTAGGTCGTCTTGGATGCTCCACTTGCAAATCCCATCTTCATGTCAGACGCGTCAGCTGGCCCAGATGCTGATTCCCGAATGCTTCCTTGCTTCTTTAAGCATGAATGCCTTGGAAAGACTTTCTCTTTGCTGAGGCCGAGCTTCTTGCAAAGGTTTGCCTTCATGTTTACTGAGTGTGGTGATCAGCATGATGAAGCAAAACCGCAATGCATGTCATGAGTCATGTGGGTTGTGACCACTGCCTGGTGCTCCACATGCATTTGGCACAAGGGACGCTTGAGCAGAGTATGTGGCAGTACGGGCAGGTGGCTAGCAAGCAAGTTCTTAGCTGTTTGGGGCAGATGCACGTAGGCACTTAACGTCATGGAACGACAGCTCTTGCTGGTTGCTAAAAGATTGGGTTAGCACAAGTTGGTTCAGGGACGTCCGACGTCGCCCAATGTTCCGCCCATGGCAGATTCTTGTGTGTCCTTGCTCATTTGAGCAATGCTGACAGCGTGAATAAATGGTGACCACATCGCCCAGGCAGTCGCTGCTCTGCCATGCTTGTCCTTGCGTTGATGCAGCAGGTTGTGAGTAAAACAACTCTCGCTTCGGATAATAGAGTGAAGAGATCCAGGCTCCCGCTGGATGGCTCTGAGTGCCTGGACGCCGCCAGGAGCCAGGTCGGCCGACGTCTGAGCGAGCCAAGTGGATTCAATCCCCTGTGCCAGGGGTTGCGCCAGCCTCCCGCGCCACCTTTGCTGGTCAAGGAGGCGTTACAGTGATTTTGGCATCAAGGGGCTTTTAGTCGCTGTGTTGTCCTGTGTGGAGGCTGGGGACATCTCCTGCTGCCTCTCCAGGGATAGATCTGTGGACTTGGGGATGGACTCCAGGACCCCGGTCTCTTGGCAGCGGGCATGGCAACCTATGACATGCAGCCTTGTGCAGTGCGTGGCAAACCTTGCGGGAAACTGCAGCGTTCCCCAGGCTAACGCTGATGAAGCGGTGGAGGACTCCAGATGCGTTTGATAGTATCTTCCTGTTAACTTCCCTGGAGCCGCAGCTGACGCCTGGACACACGCACCACCTGTCAGGCTGCACGCCAAGCCTCCGAGAGAGCTCGCCGCACCCGGCAGCAGCCTCAGGGTGGCCTCGCGACATCGCTTGCAGTGTGAAGAGGGCTGCCCACATCCGGCGCCGTGCGGTGCCATGATGTGCAGTCTCTGCGATCTGCGAGGCTACGAGCTTCACGCCCGCGCACAAAGACAGTGTCAGCGGCGGAACCACTCGCTCGATCAAGGGCGCAGCGACAAGCGCGCGAGCAACATGCTGACAGTCTTCCAACACCGCAAAGCTCGCTTACCCCACTGAGCAGCAGCATTTTGGACGACATGCGTACAAGCTTCAAAGATCCAGACTGTGCCGTGGCAGGGAGGGTAACATTTTACAGCCGCTTTGCTAGTAGTGTCGCCACGTGCCCGCGAACATTCACGAACCAAGGTGCCTCGGACGGTACCACTCCATCAACTTCACATGTGGGATCTCTGCAGAACAGGCAATGTTGCTTGTTGTCCATGCCGATGCTCGATACTAACCGTTGTTTGTCTAGGCCAGTGGCACTGCCGCCACCACCTCCAGACCATGACGCTGGATCGAGTCCGGCCGATGATGCTTGGTCGTGGAAGTCAATTCCCGCGGGCGGATCCGCTTGCATCACTCCTGCTGCCTGTCTGCTACCAGTGACCAATTGGGACGAAATCTGCCGTTTCTTCCCGCCTTGTAGCTCACATACTCGATGAACTTGGACTGTTCAGCCAGAAGTGAACAGCAGAGTTCCGCCCTTCGCATGCTCGAGCCGTCTTAGGCTGGAACTGGAACGATGATGGATTCCCAGACGCCAATACACACCGAGGTCTCTGAGGCATCAGATTTTCAGACGGCGTGGGGAGAGTTTCCGGTTCTATGTGTCAGAAAGGCAAGCATGCGCTGGCAACCTCCGATCTGCAATATCTTACCACCGCTGCTGCCTGGTAGCAAGCGGCAGTCAGGTGTAGCCTTATTTGTAAAACTATGATTATGATGAGGATGATGATGATGACGATGCTGATGATTAGTATTATTCGTATTATTCGTATTCTTCGTATTCTTGGTATTCTTCGTATTCTTCGTATTCTTCGTATTATTCGTATTATTCGTATTAATCGTATTATTAGTATTATTAGTATAATTAATATAATTAGTATTATTAGTATTATTAGTATTATTAGTATTATTAGTATTATTAGTATTATTAGTATTATTAGTATTATTAGTATTATTAGTATTATTAGTATTAGTATTATTTATTAGTTTAATATAATTATTAGTATTATTAGTATTTTAGTATATTATTGTATTAGTATAGTATATTATTATTAGTATTATTAGTATTATTAGTAGTATTATTAGTATTATTAGTAGTATTAGTAGTATTAGTATTATTGGTATTATTAGTATTATTAGTATTATTAGTATTATTAGTATTATTAGTATTATTAGTATTATTAGTATTATTAGTATTATTTTTGTTATTATTCTTGTTATTATTAGAAAACAATAATAATAGTAATAGCAATAAAATTGTATTGTTAGTATTACTTTTACTCTTACGATGAGCATGGCATCCAGCATCCCGCTGTTTAATTCACGCCGATCAGAGATGAAGGGAAAGAGATGATTGTGGTATGTAGATGTAGCTGAGGCCACCTGTGTGGGCACCCCAGTTTTTCACGCAACGCTTGCTCAAGCATGTCTGAATGTTGGCTGTGAAGCTGAATGACATCCGCCCCAAGGTCCTGCGAATTGCGGTTTTGGATTGAGGCCATGGAGGCTGCGCAGAAGGTGCCTTAATGGGATTTGAGTGACGCCTGGGGTCACTGCCGGTTGCCGATGGGCGCTGCAAGGGAGACTTGCTGCAAGATGCTGTCGGGACCCTAAATTGGGCATGGCATGCTAGCCGGGTATTCGCAGTAGAGCGTGTGAGTTGTACGGCTTTTGTTAGAGGGAATCGCGTTATTCGTCAGCTCGGCACGATGGCACCAGAAGCAGGTCCTACTGCAGCGCGCTTGCCTAACTCTGGAAGGTCACTAGCGCGATTCAACTGGGCAGCACGTGTCAGGAAGTGAAGCGTTTGAGAACCGCAGGCGCGGAGGGAGTCATTCAAAAGCCTTGCGCGAATGAACAACTTCAATTGCCACGCCATGATGACCAGGCCCATAGTGCTGCTATGTGAGCAAGGGTCAAAAAGTATGGTAAGTACGGTTTTAGCTTGGCAGGACATTTGCATGCTGAAGTGCCAAAAACCCTGTAAAGCGACGGGGAACATCGAAAAGCAACGCCCCTTAAACCCTTGTAAAGCGACGGGGAACATTGAAAAGCGTGACCTAGGGCCCGACATCCAGAGTGTTGACGGTCGCTCATGTGGCGTAAGACGACGCGTGGTGAATGTTGCGGCGCTAGACCCACGAGACTGTGGTTCAAGGTGTTCAGTTGAGGTGCTTAGGGACAGGCGGGGAGTTCCATTCAAGCCACGACTCACGCGAAAGTCGCGAAAGTGCTGCAAGGAGATACAAGGAGATGCTTCAATATGTTTCCGGTGTCCCAGAGCTCGTGTCGATTTATGGGAACGTCTGTCGACAACAAGGAGGAGGTGCCAAGCTGGAGTTAGGAAGCATCAGTGCCCATGGCTCACAATCACCCAGCAGTTGCGGGACCCGCGCTTTTTCACGGCTCGTGAGCACGAGAGAGCACACAAAGCTAACTCCTTTTCGTGGGTGAGATTGACATTAAGGCTTGCATTCCATTTTCTTTGGGGGCATTGTCTTCCCGACATCATTCGTCCCCCAAGCCCCGAAATCCCAACCCTCTGCCTTAGGTCCCCTAGCTTGAAACTCCTGCCCTTGCCTGCTGCTCTCCGTGGAGCTTTCCTCCGCCCTGCTCTCAAGCAATAGTGAAGTCTTCTTGGCCTGAGTTCCTGTCTGAGGCCAGGTTCTTTGACCCCCGCATGCCAACCAAGCCGCGTCGCTCAGCTCACAACGCTTCCAAGGAGCCTGGGCTACCTGCATGCACCGGAGGTCCTAAACAGAACAGAGAGAGTTTTCTCATAATATATGTGTATGTATGTATGTATGTATGTATGCATACATATATATATATGTATGTATGTATGTATGTATATATGTATGTATGTATATATATATATATATATATATACACATATAGATATCCTACCATATATATATATATATCTACACTTATATATCTGTGTGTGCGTGTGTGTGTATATATGTGTGTGTGTGTGTGTAGCAGGACCCGAAGGCGGAGGCCTCACGACCCGAGACAGGCAGGTCGGCCAGTCAAACATCTGGTGGTGCCCCCCCCGGGCAGGTTGATGCTGAAGTCAGCTCCTTGCGCCAGCAAATGCAGGCTATTTGTCAGGACCCAACCAGGGTTTAGGGTTTAGGGTTTAGGGTTTTAGGGTGTAGGGTTTAGGGTTTAGGGTTTTTTAACCCTGAGCCCATGCGCTGCAAACCCTAAACCCTAAAGACTAAGCCCTAAAGACTCTGGCCTCTGGCTGCTGGCACCTTGTCGGCGTTTCTGCCAGCAGGACCGGGACGCGGCCCGCAGCGAACTGGCGCAACTCCAGGCTTCCCTGGGGTTTTAGGCCTTCGAGTTTACAGCACGGTATGTCAAGACATTCCTTTGGATCTTGTTCCGCCTCCGAGTTATGAGCAGTGGTAGTATGTTTTTTTAAGTATTAATCTCTTCTAATTCCTCGAATTCTTCGCGTGGTGTCAACTGAGCCCCCCTCAAACCCCACGCAAGATCCCTACAAAGCCCCTAGAATTTTAAGGGAAGCAGTAGCAGCAAAACGCTTGTCAACCCCTGAGCAAACACAAACCCTTAAACCCTAAACCCTAAACCCTAAACCCTAAACCCTAAACCCTAAACCCTAAACCCCCCCCCAAAAAAAAAAAATAAAAGGCCGACCACAGGCGACTCCAGGAGTCGGTGCGGTCCCCAGCAGCTGCTTGCTCTTGTAGGGTCCTCTGAATTGTGGGGATTTAGGGTTTAGGGTTTGGGGTTTGGGGGTTTGGGGTTTGGGGTTTGGGGTTTGGGGTTTGGGGTAGACTATTCTTGGGCGCTCTCCGAAAGGGGAAAAAAGGGGCTTGAACAAGGTTTAGGGTTTAGGGCTTGGGGGGGGGGGGCTGAAAGGGGGGGGGTGTTTAGGGAGGCCTGGGGTGGGGAGGAGATTGGGGGTGGGGTTCAAGATAGAAGGGGTTTTCGAGGTTTAGGGGTCTGGGGGGGTCGGGGATTTCTACCCAGGCGGAGGAGCTCCGCCAGAAGCAGCAAGAACTGGAAGTCCAAAGGAAGGAGCGAGCCTGAGATTGCTGGGGGTTGGTTTAGGGTTTAGTGTTTAGGGTTTAGGGTTTAGGGTGCATGAGGGGCAGGGTGTGTTCAGGATCCTGGATTTGTCCTTTGTCCGTTTTGTGCATGCGGGTATGTCCCTCGTGGTGGGACGGTCAAAACGCAATGCTTTGACTTCTGAATGCTTCTTCCGCCCGTCCGAAAGGCCCAAGCGTGTTCAGGAAAGTCATGAAGGGTAAATACAGGCTACAGGAACCTCCCAAAATTCCACCAACATCAACTTGGGATTTTCCACGATGCCATCAAGCAATCTAGACAGCAGACGATGTGCAGAGCTCGTACGTAGGAGAAGTAAGGCAGACCAGAAACAGATCTGTTAGCGGGCCAAGCCTCTGAGTGGCGCGTCCGGAGCACACACCGCCAGGCTGGGTTTCGGGTTTCGGGTTTCGGGTTTCGGGTTTAGGGTTTAGGGTTCATTCCAAACCTCTTTCCTCAACTCCTCAAGCCCCAAAATCGCGCAAAGCCCCCCCCGCCCTGGAACTAGCCTCGAAACCTGTCGGCCCTAGCCCGCTCGAAGTTGGCCTCAGCTTTGTGTGGCTCCGCCCCTGTGCTCCATGGAGGCGGTTGCACACAGCTATGACTCAGCTACTCTTCGAGGACGCAGCGAAGACGCAGGACCGACTGACCAACTGACATCGAGCAGGGGGCAGCAGAATGGGTGATGTTCAGGATGTAGGGGCATTCACCCTAAACCCTAAACCCTAAACCCCCAGGTTTGTTTGCACATGTTTGCTGTGTGAAACGCCACTCGAAAGTCGGGCCTTGAGCGCATAAAACGAGCTTGCAGGAAGTCTGCTTTCGTTTGCCACGCCGCGCAGCCCGCGCTGCCTTAGTCAGTGGGATTCTTTTTGGGGCCGGGGCCCAAGCTCATCGGGAGGTTGTTCGGGTTATTCGGGTTATTCGGGTTGTTCGGGTTTTTGTAGGGTCTCGGCGAACTTGTGGCGAAGGAGGTAACCCTAAACCCTAACCCCTAACCCCTAACCCCTAACCCCTAACCCCTAAACCCTAAACCCTAAACCCTAAACCCTAAACCCTAAACCCTAAACCCTAAACCCTAAACCCTAAACCCTAAACCCTAAACCCTAAACCCCCAAATCCTCACGTCTGTTTCGAGAAGCAGCCGAGGCCCTTTTTGCTCTGCAGTGGCAGAGGGAGCTGCAGGAGGCATGCCTGAAGGTTTGCTGTGTATAGGGTTGAGGGTTTAGGGTTTAGGGTTTAGGGTTTGGGGTTTTTAGGGTTTAGGGTTTAGGGTTTGGGGTCTAGGGTTTAGGGTCTAGGGCTGAGGGTTTAGGGTTTGGGGTTTAGGGAGATGGTCAGCTCTCAAAATTCGGGAATTAGGGTCCCTTTTTGGGTTCAGGGTTTAGGGTGTTTTTGGGTCCCCTAAATGTTAGGGACCGCCTTATCATAAGGACCCCCCAAAAAGGACCACACTTTTGAGAGTTTACCATATGGCAGAAATCAAGATGTTAATTATAACGGTATATAAGGGAAGATGTTCAACGTCTCTCTCTCTCTCTGTTTCAAAATGCATACTACGTAAAAGATGTTTCCTATTTTCTGGACAATGGGCAACACATATGTATATATGTATATATGATGCAATCGAATTTGACAACTGATATATAAACTAGTGTGTGTGTGTGTGTAAATGTATAGGTACATATGTATATAAATATATATGCATATACAATATTCATGATGCTATATGTAGAACAGCTCTAATTTTCAATGCTCCAACCTCTACATCCAATATTTAGTGCGGTCGATATATATATTATATATATATATGTATATTTTGTCTATATATGCACACACTGTTGTATACGTGCATGTATACACATACTACATATCGTAACACATATCAACATATAGTACATAAGACAGTGCATTTCATGTAATGCACTTGATGCAATAGGACTTGCATCGATTTGCTTGGGGGTGGTTGTGAATTGTAGGCCCCGGGCTTCCCGCCCCCCCCCCCCCCCCCCCCTTGGGTGGCTTAAATAGGGTCTATTTGGAAGCTGGGACTCGGGTTTTCTTATAGCCATACACGTTTCCACGAGGGTACGCTGCTGTCACGTCAGTCGTACTATGGAGGCCTCAGGAACAAGAACCAGGTAGTTCCTCTTTTCTCTTCTCTTTTTCTCCTCAATCCTAAAGTCGAAGGCTCTCGTGAGGAGAAGAGAAGGGAGAGAAGGAGGGAAAGATAAGAGGAACACGATTTTCATGGGAAGAGCCAAGAAAAGAATAGAAGAGAGATAAAACAAGGCGCAAAGAAGATGGTACTCTTCTTTATCTATCCTCTCTCCCTTATCTCTCCGTTCCCTCTGTCTTTTCGAAATGAGAAAAACAAAAAGAAAGATGAAAAGAAGAAGGGTTAGGAAAAGAGCCGAAGAGATAGGCCGAAAAGAGGGGTATGGTGAAGTACGGCAAAGGTCCACGCACAAGGAGTCACCTTCTGCTTACCCTTCCACTGCTTGATTTTACAAGCTCCTTTCTTGTGTTTTATCAGTTAAAATTAAAAGGAAACAGAAGGAGAGAAGGGAAAGGGAAGTGAGAGAGGAGAGACAACAAGGAGGCCATTTTAATTTCCTGTGAGTTATCAAAAGGAATGCAATATTATGGGAAGAGCAATGGAAAAAAAGAGTGGAAGAGAAATTAAGACAGGAGAGGGAGGTGCAAAAATAAGGCAAAGAGAAGATGGTGCCGTTTTCATCTCACCTCTCGTTCTTATCTTCCTCTTCTCTGGTTCTTTTCCCTGTGAAATAAAAAAACAAAAGGAAGGACAATGAACATATAAAGGAACCCGTTTTCGTTTTCCGTTTGGGCACAAGGAAAAAAAACAGAGGCGATAGGGCGAGAGGAGGGGTTTGCTGAAGCATGGGGAGGGTGTACGGGCAAGGGGCCAACTCCGCCCACTTCCCCCATCCATTGAAAGAGGAAAAGGAACAGGGCCTCCATTCCCCTCTTATTCTTCCTTTCTTGCGTTTTTGTCGTTTAGAAGGGAACAGGAGAAGAGGAGGGAGAGAGAAGGAGAGAGGAGACATAAAAAGGGTTGCATTTTTAATGGGAAGAGCAAAGAAAAGACCAGAAGAGAGATGATGGGAGAAGAGGGGGAGACAAAACAAGGCGCACAGAAAATGGGCAGATAAGAAGAGAGGAAAGGGAATGACCAAGTACAATGAGGAGTTCTTCAATTTCCCTCCCTATCTCTTATGTTACTTTTCCTTCTTGTGGGGTGTCCCTTTTTCTCTTGAAGATGCAGAAAACGATTGAAAAGGACACCCGTTCCATCGCCCATATGTAGGGAAAAAGAGAGAGAATCATGAGCATCAGCTGGGCTTGCTGCCAATCCAACATGGGCGTCCCTTTTAATCGCATTCTGTGTCCTTTTTTCTCGCTTGAAGATGCAGAAAACGATCCAAAAGCACATCTGTTGGAGGAAGAGAGAAGGAGAGAGGAGAGATACCAAGGATTGCATATTTAATGGGAAGAGCAAGGAAGAGAATAGAAGACAGATGAATAGAGAAGATGGCGCTCTTCTTTATCTATTCTCTCTCCCTTGTTTCTCCCTTCCCTCTTTCTTTTCGAAATGAGAAAAACAAAAAGGAAGAACTATGAGAAGGAGAAGAGTAAGGAAAGGAACAGAAGAGATAGGCCGAGAGGATGAATATGATGGAGTATTATGGAAAGGCTCACGCGCAAGGAGTCACCCTCTGCTTACCTTTTCACTGCTTTATCATATGAGTTCCTTTCTTGTGTTTTATCAGTTAAAAGGAAGCGGAAGAAGAGAAGGGAAAGGGAAGTGAGAGAGGAAAGATAACAAGGATGCTATGTTTCCCGAAGCGTGCTGCAAGGAATAGAAGAGACAGGAAGCAAGGAGACGGAATCACAAAATAAGGCGCAAAGCTGTACATATCATCTCTCCCTTGTCTCTCCCTATTCCCTTTCGAACTAGAAAAAACCATTCTTGCTTTTCACAGATAGGTTCCCTCTCTCCTCTTCAGGAAATCCCCTTTCCCTTATGTTGCTTTTTGAAGCGAATAAGAAAAATAGCAGATAAGAAGAGAGGAAAGGGTCAATTTCCCTCCCTATCTCTTATGTTGCTTTTCCTTCTTGTGGGGTGTCCCTGTTTCTCTTGAAGATGCAGAAAACGATTGAAAAGGACACCCGTTCCATCGCCCATGTGTAGGGAAAGAGAGAGAATCATGAGCATCAGCTGGGCTTGCTGCCAATCCAACATGGGCGTCCCTTTTAATCGCAGTCTGTGTCCTTTTTTCTCGCTTGAAGATGCAGAAAACGATCCAAAAGCACATCTGTTGGAGGAAGAGAGAAGGAGAGAGGAGAGATACCAAGGATTGCATATTTAATGGGAAGAGCAAGGAAGAGAATAGAAGACAGATGAATAGAGAAGAGGGAGAGACAAAACAAGGCGCAGAGAAGATGGCACTCTTCTTTATCTATTCTCTCTCCCTTGTTTCTCCCTTCCCTCTTTCTTTTCGAAATGAGAAAAACAAAAAGGAAGAACTATGAGAAGGAGAAGAGTAAGGAAAGGAACAGAAGAGATAGGCCGAGAGGATGAATATGATGGAGCATTATGGAAAGGCTCACGCGCAAGGAGTCACCCTCTGCTTGCCTTTCCACTGCTTTATCATATGAGTTCCTTTCTTGTGTTTTATCAGCAGAAGAGAAGGGAAAAGCAAAAATTGAGCCCAACATTTTAGGACCAGGGCTTGCGATCTCACTCTTTGGAGCAAAAATCGATTCCAAAATCTTAAGGACCAGGGCTTGCGATGTTACTCTTTGGAGCAAGAAAAGAGCCCAAAATCTTAAAGACCGGGGCTTGCGATTTCACCTTTTGGAGCAAATACTGAGCCCAAAATCTTAGGGACCAGGGCTTGCAATTTGACTCCGTGGAGCACAAATCGACCCCGAAATCTTAGGGACCAGGGCTTGCGATTTGACTCTGTGGAGCACAAATCGACCCCGACAACTTAGGGACCAGGGCTTGCGATTTGACTCTTTGGAGCAAAAATCGACCCAAAAATCTAAGGGACCAGGGCTTGCGATTTTACTCTTTGGCGCAAAAACTGGGCCCCAAATCTTAGGGACCAGGGCTTG